CTCACCAAACACAGCAGGTAGAAATCATTACTTCTGGTACCGTCTTAACGAGCCCTGTTTACCAGCCGATTTTGTACCGGTTTATTATTAGTTTATTTTTAAGTTGTGATAAAGAAACCAAAAAAATACTGTGGCGTAGGAAAGGATCGAAATTTATTTCTTTTGTCTACTAGGCTAGAGAGGTTGGTGGTCCAGGAATGATAGGTCTGCTTTGCTGTTCTCGGCACAAGGCTTCCACCTCTGGCCCGAGGTGGCTGCTTGGGCTGTTACCATCCCATCTGTATTCAGCTGATCGGAAGAGAGAAAGGCCAGATGAGTGCGCATGCATCCCTCTAAAGGACGTGACTCAGAAGTGACAGACACCTTTTCTTCTCTCCTGCTGTTGGACATCTTGGACATGTGGGCACATCTAGCTTCAAGGAAGACTAGAAAGGCTGCTCTAGCCGTGTGGGCACGTACCCAGCTAAAGTTTAGCAGCTGTGTCATGTAATGAGAGGGAGACTAGGTATTGGTAGACAAATAACCCTTTCTACCACTGTATACCTTTCTGCCACTCGGATATCCATGAGCATTTCTTTTCTTAGTTGCATGGCTAACCTGACTTTATAGTGTTTTTTATTCTATAAACCATTTTTAGTTTAAAAGTAATACAGATGTTGTTTCAAATAAGAAAGTGCCCTTCATTTTAGAGTTGCATATTGAAATATGTATGGACATCACGACATGATCTTTGGTGTTTGCTTTAAAATTATTTACCCCCACCCAAAAAAAAAAGTCTGTGATACATTGTTAAGAATAAAATGTAAGTTGCACACCAAAAAAAAAAAAAGTAGTACAAGTGTTTAAGGAAGGAATTTAAATAGTAAAAATTGTATAAAATGAAAAAAAAAAAAAAAAGTTCCTTCCCATGCCCTATCCTCCTATCCAACTCCCTAGATGGTAACAGTTTCTTCTGATTCTTTCCAGAATTTTAATGTGTAGATAAGTATTTGTCCATCACCTTTTAAAAGTAAATGAAAGTATGATAACCCTTTTCTACACTTGATTTTCATTTGCTTCTACACTTGCTCTTCTATTTGAGATCTCGCCATATTAGCACATAAAGAGGAACATAAATAAATAAAAATAAAATAAGCCAAAAGCCCACATCAGCTGAAAAATAAATAAACAAAAACTGCTTTTCCTAAAATGTTGAAACTTGTTGGGTTCAGAGATTGGCCTGGTAACAAATTTGGTTCTCTCCAAAGATGGAGAACCAGTCATTTCAATTGCTCCATTTTCATTATTTTCAATTACTTCCTGGTATACTATTGTATGGATGCATCATAATTTACATAGCCATCTTAATTCGATAGACATCTTAATTTATGCCAGTTATTTGCTAATACAATTGGCCCTCCGTATCCTCAGGGTCTGCATCCGCTGATTCAACCAACTGCAGATGGAAAATATTTTGGAAAGAAAAGGGGGGAATTCCAGAAAGCAAAACTTGAATTTGCCACACACAGAGCTTTAGGCTGAATGCACTCGAATGAAGTGATGTGTAGGCATCCCCTGCTGCAGCCTCCCGCCATTTCCCAGGTCCTCAGTCTCTCTTCAGCTCTCGTTGTTCATTTGCTGCTTGTGTTGTGTGCACCCTACAATGGTTGCGTCTGTACTGAACTTGTACAGACTTCTTTTCTTGTCATTATTCCCTAAACAATACAGTATAACAACTATTTACATAGCATTTATGTTGTATTGGATTTTATAAGTAATCTAGAGATGATTTAAAGTATGTATGAGGATGTGCACAGGTTATATGCAAATACTACCCCATTTTATATAAGGGACTTGAGCATCCTGGAACCAATCCCCCCTGGATAGCAAGGGACAACTTATAATCGACATTATAATAAACATCCTTTTACATGTGCCTTTTAAAAAATTGAGTTAATCAATATGCTGTCTTCACAGTTCACACTGGTTTCTTTAAATGCCTGGTCCTTCCTTCCTCATTGATTTTACCTGCAATTGTTTAATCCAGATTTTGCATGTTACAATTTTTTTCTCTTCCTTAAGACATATTTCCCCTTTTAGAGGTTTTTTTCATCAGATGGATATGGGTGTGGCTATTCATATCCATCCTGTGCTTCCTAAAGTTCTGATTTTGAACAATATATCCTAATACATGCTAATAGGAACTTTAAGATGACATAATTTTTCTCTTTCATAAGTCCTATCACTTTTACAAAGGTCTCCAATCAAGAGTGGCCTTCCTTGTTGCTTCCTTTACCTACATTACTTCTTCTGAGAAAATATATTGAATCAAATCAAGTCAACAATGTATTAAATATTGCATATAAAAACAATATTTAGATTCTGATTATCTTTCTCAAAATCAACTTGACATTAAAAAAAAGGACTGATATAATAGATCATGCACCACAATGTTAACAGTGGTTTTATTTGGTGATGAGACCATAGGTGATTCATTTTCTTTTATTTTCTTTGGTTCCCAGATTTTGAAAAATTAGCATGTGCAACTTTTAAAGTTAAAAGAAAATAAGAAAACTATCTTTCAGCAGAATTAGATTTTCAGTGAATGCTTGGACGACTGAAATCTCCCACCACAGTGTATCTTGCCTCGTGCCAATAATTTGAGGAACTGTGTTAGGAAAACATTGTCCATATCCTCTGGCTGGCTGGTGATCCGTTGCCTTGTTTCAAGATGATATAATGTCTGTTTTTCTTTTGTTTTGTCCCCATCCAAAAGCTCTTCACCATAATCTCAGAATAAACCAGGAGGTATCATGATCTAAAATGTGTATGCCCACGCACACACATGCATGCACCCCTCCCACACATAAGTACCCTCTCCCTTTCTCTCTCTCTCTCTCTCTCTCTCTCACACACACACACATACACACACGCACACGCACGTAGAACTACTCAAAAGTTCTCCATTATGCCTGAAAGCTTGCAGCACTGAGGCCAATTGCAAGAATTGTTCACAAATCTGGACACAGTTCTTCCAGTTTTTGCTGGCAACAATAGAAAGATCTGACTGTAGAGGAGAGTATTTCCAGCAATTAGCAGAGGCCACAGATATTTTTTCAAAGATATATTTGTGAATGCTGTGTCATAAATGTGGTATGCAGAGAGAAGTTTTTATGTAGGGACAAAACTCTAACAGATTAACGGTAGAGCTGGATTATGGCTACAGGGCATTGGTTGCCTATACCAGTGAGTTCATAGGACGGTCATGTATAAGTTGTAAAGTTCAACCAAAAGGATTTCTCATTTATGAAAAGACCCTTGCATGAGGACATTGGGCCACTTCTTTGTATTTAAAAAGATGAAGGCTGGTTTTTGTGATTATTTTCCTGGTAAATCTGCCATACTAAACATACAGCATAAGTTGTAAAACTCAGAAGCAAGAGAATTGTTCATTTGTGAAAAGACCCTTGCATAAGGATATGTGAATGCTCTTTTGCAAAAGACAAAGGTTGGTTTCTATGGTTACTTTTCTGGTAAATTTGCCATTGTAAACATACACCTCTTAACTGGCTTCATGTGTAAATTTTATTTATTACTTCTGGACACGCTGTCTATCATTCTGATAGCCTTGCCTATATACTAGAGATTTTTTTGAGTACTACAGAAGCAAGGAGGCTAGACCAGTTTTGAAAATTAGGAGTTTCTCACATCTACGGCAAGGGCATCAGAGTGTGGTGATTAAGAACCTGCGCTTTCAGGTCAGGTAGATCTGGTGTCAAATCCCAGATCAACAACTTAGTGGCAGTATGGTTTTGGGTAAGTCATTAAACACTTCTAAATCCATGTCCTTGCATGCCTAGTTTTGATAGTTAAAAGAGCTAAAATGTATATAAAGCATTTGGCAGTGCCAGTCTCTGGGTGGTACAAATGGTTAGGCACTGGACTACTAACCAAAAGGTTGGCAGTTCAAACCCACCCAGAGATGCCTTGGAGGTAAGGCCTGGCAGCCTGCTTCTGAAAGGTCACAGGTTTGAAAACTCTGTGGAACAGTTCTACTCTGCACACTTGGGGTCACCATGAGTTGGAATCAATAGCAACTAACAACAACAACATCATACTCAATAAATGGGAGCCTTGCTGGCACGATAGTTACACCCAGCAGCTCTACAGGAGAAAGAGTTGGCAATCTGTTTCTGTAAAGATTAAAGCCAAGAAAACCTTCTGGGACAGTTCTACTCTGTCGCATGGGGTCGCTATGAGTCGGAATCGACTTGACATCACCAAACAACACCACACAGTAATTATTACTATGACTATCAATATATTAAGTCCTTCCTGGATGCACCTTCTTATCCCCAGCACCGGACAGCACTTATTCATTCTGTAGGGCCTTGTGGAGCTGCCTCAGGCCACACCTCTCTGCTGTTTTTGCCTTCTTTTATCTGGTCAACTGTTTTGTCCAGGCAGATGACTAACACAAACAACAGAATGGTCACTTAATAGTTATGCTGTGAGATTCAGCATAGCTTTGAAGTTTTTGGCCAGAGGACTCTCTAGAAGCACATTAGTAATCTGGTTTATAAAAATGCAAAATGCTAAAAGTGGGTGTAACCCCTAGTTACCGTAGGTACTTTCAAAGAGTTCAGGAACATTGTTAGAAGTTATCTGTAATCCAGGTATACCATCAAGCCTCTTTCTCTTTAACACACACCCTCTGGGACATAATGAGCCTCTCTCTGCAGTTATAAAACCAGTTTTCATGGGTCAGCTCTATTTCTCCTCTGAAAGGAAAACTCCTGCACTTGAGGGAGCCTTTCCTGGTAACAGAAGCCAAAGGCAATGTTTGGATCTACCATTAAGTTAGAGCCTGTTGAAATTTCTAAAAACAAAAACCTCATTTGTTCCAACACAGGCATTATTTAAACAGTGCCTGACACACACTAGGGCTTAAAGTTATATTTGCAGAATGAATGAATGAAGGGGTAACTTGGTGCTGTGTCTCGTTTGTGTCCTGACGTCAGAGGCACCGGAAACTGTTCAACCAGGCGCCACAGCCCAGCCTGCCAGCCCATGTTCTTTGCCACATATTAAGCAGCAGCTGCGAAACGAAGACTGCTACCACGGCAAGCTGAGCAGGAAGGCAGCAGAGAGCCTCTTGGTAAAGGATGGGGACTTTCTGGTTCGAGAGAGTGCAACATCCCCTGGCCAATATGTGCTGAGTGGACTACAGGGAGGCCAGGCAAAACATCTTCTCCTTGTGGATCCCGAAGGCAAGGTATCATTGGCCTCTTGTTACGGGCTGCGTAAGATATTGTTCTATTAGGGTTACTCTGAATGACTGATCTAAAACCTGGTTTTGAAGAGTGTTCAAGGCTAAGGGCTTGCTTTTTCTTGAAGCTTCCAGCTAGAGCAGGAAGTACGAAGTAGAGGCTAGTGGAGGGGTCTGAGCAGGAAGCTATCCTGGGTATCCAGTGGACGACAGCCTCTTTTTGTCCTGAGAGTGGTCAGTTTATGATCTCTGTACTAGGAAGATTAACTTGACATTTGTGTACAGGGCTGATTAGAGTGGGAATAACAAGGGATAGAGAAAGCAACTAGGGACTTCTAGGTAAAAATAGAGAAGGTCTGAACCTGGATGGAGGCAGGAGAAATCCAGAGAGGAGGGCAGAGTGAGTTGGAATTAAGAGCACAGACTGGCAGTACTCATCAGCTGATTTGATGTGTTTTGGGCGTGAGATGGAGGAGATAAAAACATCTTCAAGGTTTAGAGCCACTTGAGAGTAAGCTGGAGACATTATGCCCTTTGCCTCTAAGTACTTGAGTGTGTATTGGGAAAAGGATATTCTTTTACATAGTCATAGTACAATGATCAAAATAAGGGCATTTAGCATTTCGATATAATACCATCATCTACTTCATAGTCCATATTCAAATTTTGCCAATTATTCCACTAAGTGTGTGTCTTGTTAATGTACTAAAAACCCATATGTAGACAGAACTCAAAGAATCCCTTGTCAGGGAGTAGCTCACGGAATTACATGACAAGCTGCTCCCTGGCTGCATCCCTTCCCTCTCCTGAACAGTTCCCCGCCATGCTCCAGACAGGCACTAACGCGTGGTGAGGCTGATGAGCGAGTGGAGTCAAGGTGGACAGCAACACCTTCTGCCCAGGCACAGGGTGAGGATGCAGTAGTACTAGGAGAAAAGTCCACGAGAGAAGGTGTCGCCTTAGGGAAGCCAAATTATTTTGGCATGTAGGCAAGAAGTTCTGCACAACAAATATTTGTGAACAAGCTATTGTCAAGTCTGCAGGAAGGAGACATGAATTCCTGTTAGAAAGGTCTGAGAAGATGTCTTAGAGGAGGAGAGGCAGACTACTCCAGAAGGGCTTGCTTCCTACAGAGACAGAGGATTATGGAAGCACTTCTGTTGATGGAATATAGTTGTAATCCGGAGATTTGTGCATCTATACAAACCAGTTAAATATTTATAGACATGGTGATATGATAGACTATACCAAACAATAGTATAACAAAGAGATTGATTGCAAGCTTGGCTTGGATGACAAGTGTTTACCATTGTATAGATGATTGCTTTAAAAAGGTAATGGGGAATAAGAAAATTGTTTTACAAGGGACAGAGTGTTGAAAAGTACTTTTTCTTTTCTTTATTGAGCAAAATATCTACTTCAGTGATATGTCTGGGTTTTTTCCCCTGATTTTTTTACATCTTTCAAGAGAACTATTATTATTTAACTTAAATACATTTGTATTTCCTTTTCAAGGTGAGGACCAAGGATCATGTATTTGATAATGTTGGCCACCTTATCAGATACCACATGGATAACAGTTTGCCAATCATCTCTTCTGGAAGTGAAGTAAGCCTTAAACAACCAGTGAGAAAAGATAATAACCCAGGACTTTTGCATTCCAACAAATGACAATATGGAAGTATCATCATACTGATATTTCAAGAAACTCCATTTTATGTCAGGTCACAAAGAAAACTCAAACTTTGTTTCTCCGATTCGTGTTAGGAGATGAAGATAACTTGGACATTGTTACCAGATAAAATAGAGCACTAACTGTGAAGTGCATCTTTCTAAGACCATCATGGACTAGGTGGTTTATAAAACAAAGAACTAACAAAAGCTGATCTTCAGAAAGTGAAAACCAGAAGATGGGAAGAGGATTGACCCATCTGGAAAGAAATTGTACATATGCACGGATGTCACTTTTTAAGGTCACACTGCATTGATAATAAGCTAAAAGCACAATTAAATCTTCACATGCTTAAGACAACGTGAGTGAACTGCTGGGGCAGTGGTATGTGCCTTTCGACTTGGTATTTGGGGGCATTTTCATATGAGGGAGATTAGTTCTAAGTGTCTTCATGTTCTATAACTGTAGAACCATTTGCCAAAAAAAAAAAAAAGTTTTTCCTTGCTACAAAAATTAAGAGGCCATTTGCTTGATAGCTACTGACTTCACTACATTTTCTGTTTAGTAGCACTTTCACAGCAAAGTTAAAATAAATTTGACGTTGAATACGGACTGTGTCTATGCTAGTGGAATCAAATCAAAAGCCACTAAAATCATTGATCTGCCCCATTTGCTGGTTAATGGGGTGAGACCAAATTCTCTGGCCTGGTATTTCTCAATCTTTGCTATGCAGACTGTTCATATGCAGCTGAAGTGGCCAAATTTATCAGTCATTTCTGATTTCATCATATTTCTCCTTCTTCTCCCCTCCAGAACAACTTCATGAGTGCATGTATTTCAGAGTTGGGAAACAAAACCAGTGCTTTTCATATTGAACATCCAAATTGGTTCCATTCTTATTTAAAGTACTGAATTTATTTGATAGTATAGGCAAACATCTTCTTGACCAACTGCCACCGAATCATAGTCCCTCACTTACATGTATCCTCAGCACCTTTTCTAGATATGATCAGACAGAATGCAGAAGGGAGGAAACATACTGAATGAGCCTGTTTGAAAGATTTGCCACGCATAGACCCAACCAGTAGGGTTGGGCTTTGAGTCTCATCAGTGTGACCTTGAGCAAGTTGCTGAATCTTCTGAACTTCAGTTTCGTTATCTATACAATGATGGAGCTGGGCTAGGTGAATTCAGAGATCCACTCCAGCCCTAACATACGAGTCTACAAAAAGCAAGTTTTCCATTTATGTGAGGTTGATGTTGATAACGAGTCTGAATAGTTAATATGAAAATCCAGTTGTTTTCTTTAGTCTGTATCTGCAGTCACAGAATGAATGGCACAGCTGAGATCAACATTCAGGTAGTTTAGACCCCAATCCTTTCAGTTTAAAACATTGACATTTTGGAATAATATAGATATGATAGTAGAAGTGGGTTTTGTTGTTTTGACTGGCCCAACACTGCTTCAGTCCTTTACCTGCCTTTGCATACAGAGTTACAGCCATTACTGTAGAGTGTTTTTTAATCCTGAGTTACCTGGACAAAAAAATTGCCTTAACTCCACTTTATTTGGCTATGTAGGTACAACTTAATCTTTGCAATTGTGATATATTTACTAAGTTTTAAAATAAAATATGGAAAACATCTTTTGGATGGAAATCAAGCACACTGAACACCTATTTTTATGTCAAGGATTATGATTTTATTTTACTTCTACTGCTGTTGATTTCTTAGATAGGCCTGTTTCCTTTTACACAACTAGGAAATAATGTATTTTTCATCAATTTTGCATGCACCTTAGTTCTTGATTATCTGTTCTAATAAAGGGTGCGCCATCGGTATAGATAATAGAAAACTATAAGAAATCTAACCGCCTTTATCAGAGACAGGGCAGGGCTGAGCAGAATGTTAAATGGGTAGCAAAAAAGAGTTCCTAATGCAAATAGATGCAAAGAATATAAATGATGTGAGCAGTACATATAGATAATCAGTATTTGACTATAGTAGGTATAATAGTTGGATGAGCAAATACTTGTTATAAATGCCACAGACACAATTAAAACCAAACCAAACACAAAAAGAAATGTCTGATTGCATGCTATTTTTATTCTCACATTCTCACCTTCATTTGTCTTAAAGTGGAAATCCATTTGCCTATAAATACCTGTAAATAATTTTTTTTAAATAAATGACTATTGCTTTGTGACAATAGACAGTATGTGCCTGATGTTTGGGATTTGGGAAATTTGTCATTTATAGGATGTATCAGGATCCTGGCAGGAAAAAGATGCCTCCCTCAAATTGGGTAAATGGAAGAGAGTTTAATAAAGGGGCTATTTACAAAGGTGTAGGCAGAGTACAGAGGAGCCACAGGGAGAGTGCAGTGCCCTGGGGTCAGCGAAGGGGCAAGGGGAGGGAGCAGTACAGGATCTGGAAAGGGCTGTGTACAAGGGCCACCTTTCAGGAGCCGCAGCCTGCAGTGGAGGGATGCCATCAGCCCTGGTGACTCCATAGGGAGGAGACTGTGGACATAAAAAACTTGGCTTTTTTCTACTCCTTTTCTTTGAACTCCTGCCAGGGCTCCCCACTGATCCAAGCAACTAGAAGCCAGAGAGTAAGGGAGCTCCTTCATGCAGTGCCAGAGGTGAGCCTCCCGGGGCACAGAGCAGGATGGCAAAGAGTGGGGAGGGCTCTGGTGGGGCAGACCAAGCACACCCAGTGCAGAGGGTTTTGAGGTATTCAAGCTTCTAAAGGCATCAGAGCATTTGGATTAGCTAGATATGAACCAGAGCAAAAATGCCAACTTTTTATTGTTAAAAACCAAGTAAGCCATGATTTTGAGGTGTGGGTTATTTTGCCAAAGAGCAACTTCAAATACACTTCAGTCTTACAGAGATACCTTTAATCCTTGGCCTTCGTGTTTCTTGTGAGTCCGTCTACCATCTTTGCCATTTTCTCACTTGTAATTATGTATAGAAAAACAATGGCTCTGACCCTACCACCCTTTATGATTGGAATTATAGATCCACAAAGATTACAATGTGAGGCAATTTTTTAATGATCAAACACAATTGTGAAATATGCCATCTGCATGTGTGGAAAATACTTAAATATCCACATATAAGGTTGAAAATGAATTGTTACTCCAATCTCCCTGAGCTTCTTGTCTTATACCAGGTAAAGAAAGGCTTTTTCCTTAGTTGGTGCGCTTCTCCTTGTTCCAGCGGTAGGCACTTAAACTGTCTAGAGTTTGCTAACCTTACTAATGTAATTGAAAGACTCATTAGTGTGGGCTATGAAGGAGCAGACTGACAAACCTGTCTTTTTCTGCCTGCTGGCAAGTTCCTGGTGGGACAGTGGTTAAGAGCTCAAGCTGCTAATCAAAAGGTGGGTAGTTTGAATCCACCAGCTGCTCCTTGGAAACCCCATGGGGCAGTTCTACTCTGTCCTATAGGGTCACTATGAGTTGGAAGCGACACGACGGCTATGGGTTTGGTTTTTTTCTTTTTTTTTTTTGGTTGGCAAGTTCCAGATCCTCATCAGCATGTTCGATCCTGATTCCTCTTTCTTGACCTGGTTACCATGAATTCATAGTTGCCTGGACTTAGTACCAGCCTAAAACTGGCTGATTTTCCTGCTATGGCCTTTGGCCCTTTAGGCTTCTCAGAAGACAACCTGGAGGGGAGTGTGCTAGTTTTCCCCATTTGCTCATCCAGATCATTCCCCACTCTTCTTGTTCTGCTCTGTGCCCCAGTTTTTGGCCCTTGTGGTCTGCATCATGATATCCCTGGGCAGCGCAAGTGATTAAGCACTTGGCTGCTAACTGAAAGGTTGATGGTTCAAGTCCACCAAGAGGTGCTTTGGAAGAAAGACCTGGTGATCTACTTCCAAAACTATCAACCACTGAAAATCTATGGTGCACAGTTCTACTCGGACATACATGGGGTCACCATGAGTTGGACATGACTCAGTGGCAACTGGTTTGGTTTGCATTTTGGACTGCATCATAGGTGATCTCTAGTCGTCTGACTTCTGCCTGTTTGGCCAATATCCTCCTCCCTTCACTCCAGCTGAGCCCTGGTATTGGCAGTGGCTGTGAAGAGCAGATCAAGGTTTTCTGCGGTCTGAAGTGTATACAATTTGGGGGACCTCTTTAGTAAAAATAAATAAATAAATAAAAATTATTAATACAAAGTGATGTATGAATATGAGTTAGGTGTATTTCTGGAAGCATTCCTACACAAGACAAGGAATAGTCAATTAACTATACTCAGAAGTGATTGCAAACTACATAAATCTATTGCACTAAATCCAAACTAAATGCATTGCCAACCAGCTCAACTTCCTATTAGGTATATCCCAAAATTGCTTGTGGCCTCTGCAATGCTACCAAACATGAAAGCAATTATAATGGTAGGTGTGGAGGTAGACAATGGTCTTAACCAAATGTGGTTAAAATATCTTAATTTTGGAAATTAAAAAAGGGGGGACATATAAACACATTGCCAGGGACCCTTGCAAGTGAGGGACCCTGAAGCTAAGATTCATCAGCTTGAAGGAAATTCCACCTCTGGTGGCTTGCTCCTCTACCTGAAACCACAGCTCCTGTTGAGCAGAGTCTCTCCCACAGCGACAACTCTCCTCTGATAACTCCACTTCCTCCCCTTGCCCTGTCAGGCCTAGAGTTTCTAACAGTTTTTCCTACGACTAGTCCCTGGGTTTTCACCATTGCTAGTTGATTTCCTCAATTCTGCCCACATTCTGGAAGGGGTCCCTTGGTTTACCTCTCTTCAGTTACCCCTTTGAGAATGACATCTGTTTTTTCCTAGGAACCTAACTGAAGCAGAGAGGGAGTGACAATGCTGAGAAGCTGGACTGTGACAATCTGACTTCACTAGTTCCCAGTCACCTGATGACTGACCTTTGCCAGCCTCTCACAGGGGAGCCAAGGAGGGAATCACAGTGGGCTGGACAAATGTCCACCATGGACCAGTCAGTAGGGCATGGTGACATGGCATGAGCTGTTCTCACCTAGCTTTGGGTAAAAGACTAATGCCGTGAAGTCTAAACACACAGGCTTATTTTGAGGCTGTGA